AATTTGAGTTCCGGGCTTCCCTGGTGGCGCAGTGGTTGAGAGTCCGCCTGCCGATGCAGGGGACATGGGTTCGTGCCCCGGTCCGGGAAGATCCCACATGCTGCGGAGCGGCTGGGCCCGGGAGCCATGGCCGCTGAGCCTGCGCGTCCGGAGCCTGTGCTCCGCAACGGGAGAGGCCACAGCAGTGAGAGGCCCGCATACCACAAAAAAAAAAAAAAAAAAAAAAAAAAAAAAGAATTTGAGTTCCTTGATTTTAGTCCCTTTCTAATCTCCACTTAGGTTCCATGAGGCAGGCCAGCAGCCTTATAGTGGATTCTTGTTTCGGTTCAGTCGGCTTTGGTCGGTTTCTGTGCTTGTAACCAGAGCCCTCCTTGATGCACGTTTCGAGAATGACTTGGGTGATAAATGTGTCAACAACCGCTAACGGCCATAGTGGGCACGTTAAGTAGAATCTGACTTTCCTTTTCTCAGAAGCTGCAGTCAACCCTTAATCACGCAGAGGTGCGTGGCCTCAGGTTATCCGGTTATTCCTCCTGCTTCTCTTCCCAGTTATTCATTGATTGATTCCACAAAGAGTTGACGTGATCCTACTACGTGCCAGGTGTACTGTTAGGTGCTGGGGACACAGCTGTGAATAAGAGAAAGTCCTTTTCCCATGAAGCTTCAATTCCGATGGGGGGAGACAGAAAACAGGTAAATTAAATACTTACCAGAAAGGAAAGAAATAGAGCGCTGTGACAGAGTTGAAATCGTCAAGGAGGGCCTTTTTGAAGAGGGACGCTTAAAAGGAGACAAGCAGGGTAAGGGAGCCCGCCAGGCCACTCACCAAAGGCAGCACCTGTTTTGCTCCAGGAATAGGAAGAAACCAGTGTGAGTGGATTCCGCTGAGGGAGTTGGGGGGAGGGCAGGAGGGAGAGGGAAAGGGGGAGGGGGGAGGGGCACAAGTCTGGGTGAGGCACAGCAGCAGTAGCCAGATCCTGGAGGCCAAGGTGAGGAGTTTGGATTTTCCTCCACTTGAAATGAGCGACTATTGAAAGGCTTTCAGCAGGAAAGAAACGTCCACGTGAAAGATTTTTCTGGCTGCCGGGCTCAGAGTGGCTTGAATGGGGTGAAAGCGGAAGGAGGCGGGAGGCATTTGCAGTCAGGGTGGGAGGTGTTAATAGTTGGAGCAGGCAGGTGGCCCCGGAGGTGGTGAGAAGTGGGTGAATGTGAGTTACATTTGGAGGTTGAGGTGATTGAATGTGACGGGGTGCAAGGGATTAGATGTGAAGGATGAGGGAAAGGAAAGGATCAAGGTTAAGGTTGAGTCCAAATTATTGTCTTAATAAAAGGGTGGGTTTGGGGGCCACTTCCTGAAATGGAAGATACTGGACAAAGACCAGTTTGGCGTATTGGGATATTAAGAGTTTCCTTGTAGGGCTCACATTTAGGTGATCTGAACTGGCCTCAGAGGTGTTTGGTCTCTGAAAGATGGTGTGGAATGAAAATTAGGCTGAAAAGGAGAGAGAGAGAGAGAGAACAGAAGTGAGTGTGAGGTTTGCCAAAGATTACTTGTCACAGGCTAATTTATCTCTGATTGAAGGCAAACAAATTCTACTTCAAAGACAGGTCATTACACACCAAGCTGACTTATTGCAAAGTGCACAATCACAGTTACACAACATACAGGTTTCAAAGGTTGTTTGCAGTTGTGATTTACAGGAAGCAGTGGCTCCAATCGGCTGCATGTTAGAATCTCCTGGAGAGCACTTTATTTATTTATTTAGATTTTGCTTTTATTGGAGTATAGTTGATTTGCAATGTTGTGTTAGTTTCAGGTGTGCAGCAAAGTGATTCAGTTACACATATACATATATTCATTCTTTTTTAGATTCTTATTTAGGTTATCACAGAATATTGAGTAGAGTTCCCTGTGCTATACAGTAGGTCCTTGTTGGTTATCTGTCTTATATATGGTAGTGTGTGTGTGTTCATCCCAAGCTCCTGATTTATCCCTGCCCACCACCTTTCCCCCTTGGTAACCATAAGTTTGTTTTCCAAGTCTGTAAGTCTTTTTCTGTTTTGTGAATAAATTCATTTGTATCATTTTTAAAAATTAGATTCCACATATGAGTGATATCATATGATATTTGTCTTTCTCTGTCTGACTTACTTCACTTAGTATGATAATCTCTAGGTCCACACATGTTGCTGCAAATGGCATTATTTCATCCTTTTTTATGGTTGAGTAATATTCCATTGTGTATATGTACCACATCTTCTTTATCCATTCCTCTGTCGATGGGCATTTAGGTTGCTTCCATGTCCTGGCTATTGTAAATAGTGCTGCAGTGAACATTGGGGTGCATGTATCTTTTCAGATTATGGTTTTCTTCAGATATATGCCCAGGAGTGGGATTACTGGATCATATGGTAACTCTATTTTTACTGTTCTCAGGAACCTCCGTACTGTTCTCCATAGTGCCTGTACCAATTTACATTCCCACCAACAGTGTAGGAGGGTTCCCTTTTCTCCACACCCTAGAGAGTGCTTTAAAAAGACCAGTGCCTAGGTCTCACTCGAGATCAATGAATTACAGTCTTTGGGGGTAGGGTCAGTTACCAGTATTTTTCTTTGGAAAGCTGTCCTCAGCAACAGGGTGAAGAACCATTAGTAAAAAGCAATTTAAACATGGCTGATGACATTTAAAAATGACCATTTTGGTAAGCAATGATTCTAAACTAAGCAGTATCTTGCACCCAGATAAGGCACAATTCGTCTTGATTTTCCTGAGTGCTTTTTCATACCACAAGATATTGTGTATCCATCATTCAGTGGCCTGTTTTCAGAAGGAAATGTCCCTAAAGTAAAACCCACCAGTCAGTTTGTGTCCAAAGTACCAGGTGATGGACGACTTAATGTATTACTTTTCAGCTGATTGATTCTATTAGAGATGGAACCATCGCTACCCATGAAAAATTGACGAGCTTTCCTCACCACTGTGTCAAATGGAAGCTTCTGGTTGGCCTCAGTTTGGAACAGTCAGAGGCTTGCAGAGCAAGCTGTTTTCATGGTCGAGTATTTCACACAGCTTGGTTCAGGTCAGAGCCACGTTCATGGGAACACTGCTGCTGCCAAACTATGAAATTTCCTGATTAAGGAAATGAGAGGAAATAAGTCATTAACTAGCACCTACACACAGCACACCGACTCAGGGAGTTCTTTTTTATTTTTTTTTCTTTTTCTTCAGGGGAATTAAAAACAGAAGATGCTGCTGTTACAATTCCCTGAAGTAAGATGACGAAAACCAAGGATGAACATTAAACAGCTGTTTTGGAACTGATTCTGGGAATAAACAAAATGCTGCCTATGGTTTCGCCACAGTTAAGAACACAGATTCTCTGTGATTCATCTGAGGTCTATAGCATGCAAGCTGAGCCAAAGAAATGATGCCAAGAAAAGACAATGACAAAGGGAGAGGCTTAATCATCATGACGGTTGCAATTATAATTAAATGTAAACTTGAGAAGAGGATTGCTTCACTCTGGTAAGAAGGCCAAGATTTGGGGGAAGTCTACAGCAAATGGACGAGAGGATGTGGTTCAGTTTCTCTCCCTACTCAGAGAACTTCCCACACTAAGTTATTATTAATATTTATAAAATACAAGAAGAGAAAATAATATTATTTTAATAGCTGGTATGAGAACTCTTAGAAGGTCGCAGTTCTTTCTTCCTTTTTCTTTTCTTTTTCCCCTTTCTTTCTTCCTTTCCGTCTTTCCTCCCTCCTTCCCTTCCCTCCCTCCTTTCTTCCTTCCTGACTTTTTTTTTTTTTTTTTGCTGTACGCGGGCCTCTCATGGTCGTGGCCTCTCCCGTTGCGGAGCACAGGCTCCGGACGCGCAGGCTTAGCGGCCATGGCTCACGGGCCCAGCCGCTCCGCGGCATGTGGGATCCTCCCGGACCAGGGCACGAACCCGTGTCCCCTGCATCGGCAGGCGGACTCTCAACCACTGCGCCACCAGGGAAGCACTCTTCCTTTCTCTCTTTCTTTCTTTCCTCCCTCCTCCCTCTCTTTCTTCCTCCTTCTTTCTTTCTCTCTCTCTTTCTCTGTTTCTTTCTTTCTTTCTTTCTTTCTTTCTTTCTTTCTTTCTTTCTTTCTTTCTTTCTTTCTTTCTTCTCATTCTCCGCCCCCTCTGTTTCTCCTTTTCTTTTCTCTTCTCTTGCCTGCCTACCTCCCTTAAATTTTAAACATAAGCCTGTTTACAGTAGAGGCTGAGATGGCAAAAGGGCCAGAAGTGTAAACAGAACTATAGAATGGCCTGGGATAAGACAAGGAAAGGAATTTGTGTTTTGAACCAGAGAGGGAGCGGAAAGGGAAAAGTGAAACGCGGAGAAAGTGGAGTGAGGCAATGGCTGAAGGCTGGGGGAATGTACTGTGTACCCCCTGAATCTTTGTAAAGTTCTAAACTTATGAAATGCTTGTGGTGGGAGGCGAGTTGGGAATCTTGTGCAGCATCTGGTAAAGGGTCTGACCTTTGGCAAGGAAAGGGATCAAGAACACACACAGGAACAACAAATCAGGGCTATGCAGTAGAGAGCTGAGAATCTGCAGAAACTGTGGGGAGGGACTCTCATTGTGCAACTTGGTGTCTCAGCCAAGTTTACCTTCATCTCCCAAGGCCAGACAGCCTTCATCTGGGATCTATTTGCAAGGACTGGGAGAAGTTTTTTATGTAAGCTACGTGGCTGTGAAGCCATGAGTGGTTTTTCATTGAGTTCTGTGCACTGTATTTTAAAGTCCTACCTGGAGCAATTATGAAGTTTCTATGGGGGATGTGAATCCCTAATGCACACTTCCCAATTCTGACTGCATCAGGTGTCCATCCAACAGGTTAGACAATATCCATCATCTGACCAACCGTCAGTCCATCCACGTATTAACTCAGTAGGCATATAGAACCCTTTCTATGTTTGTTTGTTTGTTTGTTTGTTTGCTGCACCATGCGGCTTGTGGGATCTTAGTTCCCCAGCCAGGGATTGAACCTGGGTCCCAGCAGTGAAAGTGCCGAGTCCTAACCACTGGAACGCCAGGGAATTCCTGAGCCTTTTCTATGTTTAAGGCACTGTACTAGGCACTTGGGCGTAAACAAATATGAACACGACATAGATCCTGATCTCAAGGAGCTTAGTCTAGTAGTGACAGCTGTAGTGGGTTGAATTGTGTTCCCTGACCCCATCGGGTGGGCCCTTTTTCAATGACAGTGTCCTTAAAAGAGACAGAGAAGGAAAAGACACAGAAAAGATGTCCGTGTGAAGATGGAGGTAGAGAGAGATTACACTCATGCTCCCACAAGGCAAGGAATGCCAAGGGTTGTCGGCAGCCACCAGAGGCTAGAAGAGAGGCAGGGGATGGCTCCTCCCTCAGAGCCTTTAGAGGGAACCAGCCCTGCCGATACGTTGATTTTGGATTTCTGACCTCCAGAACTATGAGAAAATAAGTTTCTGTCGTTTTAAGCCACTCAGTTTGTGGTTATTTGTCACAGAAGGCGTAGGAAACTAATACAGCAACATGTAGTAAAATAGCAAAGCACCGTTATCAAAAGAACAGAAAAGAACATGTATCGATGAGGATGCAGAGAGTTGGAACCTTTGTGCACTGTTGATGGGAATGTAAAATGCTGCAGCTGTTGTGGAAAATAGTAAGAAGGATCCTGAAAAATATAAAAATAAAAACTACCATGTGACCCAGCAACCCCACTTTTTGGTACATATCCAAAAGGATTCAAAGCAGGATCTTGCAGAGATAGTTGCACACCCGTGTTCATCATAGCATTATTCACAGTAGCAAAGAGGTGGAAATAATCCACCCCAGTGTTCGCTAACAGATAAATGGATAAAGAAAATGTGGTGTATATATACATATGTGTGTGTGTGTGTGTGTGTGTGTATACACACACATGTATTATGCAGCCTTAAGAAGGAAGTCCTGTCACTTGCTATAACATGGATACACCTCGAGGACATTGTACTAAGCAAAAGAAGCCAGTCACAAGTGGACAGATATTGTATGATTCCATGTATATGAAGTATCTAAAGTAGTCAAAACCATAGAAACAGAAGGTAGAAATGTGATTACCAAAGACTGGAGGAATTGGTGTTTAATGCATGTAAAGGTTCACTTCTAACATTTTTAGTTTTTTTTTAATTGAAGTATAGTTTATTTACAATGTGTTAGTTTCTGGTGTGCAGCAAAGTGATTCATTTATACACACACACACATATATATATATACTCTTTTTCATATTCTTTCCCATTATGGTTTATTATAGGACATTGAATATAGTTCCCTAT